ATTTGTCTAAAAATCTCCATCAGTAACATGTTTCAGACTGAAAGCAACTTGTGTCACAACACAAGGCAACACTATCTCAGAGGAGAAAAACTCCAATTTGCTGCTTTAAAGGTGCTTTACCTAATCTGTGAAACAAGCTAGCTTTTATGCCCGGGTCACACTGAGAGTTCCAGAAAGGTGGACCACTGTACGGCGCAAGGTTTCAGTAAGGCAGCCTGCACGACGTCTCACTCCTGCAGGACACGCAGCGTCATGAGCGCACCTCCTGAAAGCATTCGTCAGCAGACCCAAACAAATCTGAAAATATAAAATAAAGTGTCGTCAACACTTCTTTTTAGCGTCAGCTCATGACCCAGCTCATCTTCCTCAAACATTAAGCATCGTTTTAAAAACACTCGCTTTGGCGTCAGACTCCGGCTGCATGCCTCCTTTTCCCGTCTTCAAGTTAAACAGCTGAACTGTCTGTTGGACATTCATCCTTCTAATCCTCCTTAACAAATAAAAACCTACTAACCTACAGAGAAGTAACAGTCTGCCACAGATCGCAGCAATACCTAAACCTTAGTGCTGAGTTCTGTCTCACTGTTCACTCCGCAGCCCCGCTCCATGAGCTCATCACACCCGCAGACACACAGCAGAGTATCCTCTCTGCAACAAAACGCTACTGAACCATCCTTGTCGGCTGAATATGTGAAATTTCCACCAAATTGCATCGCTTTAAATGTTTTTTATTTAGTTATTCTGAGCAGTGCACAAAATTAAGATTCAACAGTTGGTTAAATTTGTTCAGAAGCATGCAGATAAGGTGGAAAACATCTCTAATCTGCCATGAAAATCCACAAAAAATTTGACAGCACTTGTCGGCCATCGGTGAAACTCCACACATCTGTATCGGTTCCTGCAGTAGAAAAATCCACATCACTTGATCTTGAATACGGAGTTAGTTTTTATATTTTAGAAATTTTAGGAGTTTGTAATGTTTTTTCACTGAACTTTTGTTTGTTTTACAATCCCTTTTTTATAATTCAGTTGGGCCAGTAAACTGGACGCCCTGACTCAGGTGTCTACGTCTGACCCAGAGGGCTACCTGGCCCACCCGGTGAACGCCTACAAGCTGATGAAGAGACTCAACACTGAGTGGCCTGAACTGGAGAGTTTAGTGCTTCAGAATCCATCGGATGGTAAGAAAACGTCTCCAGAAGGAGGTCTGAAATATAGTGAGCAGCAAATAAAAAATCGAGAGGAGATAAACGAGTAAATTGAAAAAAAGCTTTGGCTGTAGTGTGTAACTATCTGCTGAGCAGCTTTGCTCCAAAAGCGTCTCCTTATACAAACTGCCTGTCTAGTTTTTGCTGCAGCTGCTTCCCATCCATGCATATTTTGTCCATGTTCTCACTTTGAGTGTGTGTGTGTGTGTGTGTGTGTGTGTGTGTGTGTGTGTGTGTGTGTGTGTGTGTGTGTGTGTGTGTGTGTTAAGACACAAGCCCTTATCTGTGTGCGGCAGCTGGAGTGTCTCCTGAAAACCAATCTGTAGATGTGGCTGTTAGTGAGCGTCTAGAGGCTGGGTGTAAATGTCATGAAAATAAGGTTTTATTTTGTTTTTACTGTGTTTTATAAAATTTTTGATGATTTTTCTTTACTAACACAAATTTAAAGCAAATAAAAAAACTGAAGGTGGAGAAGGGATGTAATCAGATGGCAAATATTCTGATTTATTTATACAATAACAACATTTGTCATAAATACAAATAATAAAATGTCAACTTTACACTAAAGGTTAGTTGTTGTTTTTTTTGCCTCACAGGGAAGTAATGCTAAAGTAGAAATTATAAATCAGTCAGTAAAGCAGCATATTGGTACTCTTTCTTATATTTTTAATACCAAGACTTCTTAATGTACAATAGCATAAATATATTTTTGTTGGTTGTTTGTATGAAAATTTGAACACTTTAATAAACACAAATTACACTCAATAACGTGTGCAAAGGACGTACAGTACTTGCTTTAACTATTCACAATGCTGATCTGTTACCTTTATATATGACCTCATTAAAAGCTGCTTTAAATGAGTCCAAATCAAAAAGCCCACATGTTTTCTTAAGGGTTTTTGGAGGCTATTTTTGTTCCAAAAGCAGAAAACCAAAGTATAAAATCTGAATTTAACGTTAGAATAATATTAGCAAAGCAAACCATAAAGCGTTAGATTTGTTTTAAACCTAAACATAGGCAGTGTACCATGGTGTGAAGTTGAGATAAAAAAGAAGAAAGAAGGATCTTCTAACCTCTCTGCAGGTTTTTTATTTTGATACCACTGACTGATTTAGATATGCTCAAACCCAGGAAAAACACAAAACAGCAGGGTTGCATTTTTGAGTTAGATTTGTGGATCCAGCCTACAGACACCCAAACATGTCACCTTATGCTCAGAAAAGGCAAACATGAAGTTTAGCATTAAATGTGTCACAATGTTTAGATTAGATCCATTCTCTATTTCTCATATGATCCTTTTATTATTAAAATATGAGTCATTCTTACCATCTTTCCAGGGTTTGTCGCCAACATGTCTGTACACCGGCAATACTTCCCCGATGCAGAGGATCAGACCGGTGCAGCCAAGGCTCTGATGCGTCTTCAGGACACGTACCAACTGGATTCAGAGGCCTTCTCCAAAGGAAAATTACCAGGTAGCCGAAGCCGAATTTGGTTAGAAAAAAAATCAAAACAGCTATTTTTCATGATGAAAAAATAAAATAGATGAGTATGTTGAGTGGAAGTAGCATAAAAATAAAGATTATGCAAAACTCATCTTTTGAATCCTTGTGTGCCACCATGTAGGTCTCTACAACACTCCAAACCTGAGATAAAATGTCCATCCGCTTTCTTTTGGTGTTGGTTTTAGGAATTATGTGCCTAAAACAAGCAGTTTCAAAAAGCTCCTGTTTGTGATGTCACAAACAAGGAAATTAGAATAGAATTACCACTCGTGTACAATTGATACCTGCTGTTAGAGGATTAACGGCTCAGCTCCAAGCCCCTCCCATATATCGAAGCTTCTTAGCAGCCTGAGTGGGGGAAGTGGAAGGCATGGGCAGCTGTGGCTTGTTTTCTTAAAGCGACAGAACCCTGAAACGGCTCATTCTGAAAGGCACTGAAACCACCAAGAATAAAACTGCTGAAATTGCTTCATGGGAGAAAGATTTTTTTACAAAGAACTTCATTTATATCAACCATAAAACTTGAGAAAAATGTCACGTGTACTTGGAGAAAATTTCATCTGGTGTCATTTTTGGCCTTGGATGATTTTATAGTTGGGTGTTTATAGGAAAACAACATTTTCTGAAAAACTGAAGAAATCCAGAGGTTTTGAAAAATTAACTGATCATAAAGGAGGTTTAAAAGCTTGACAAATATTCTGTCCATTCCCAGGTGTTCACTCTAATGCCGAGCTAACAGTGGACGACTGCTTTGACATGGGGAAGACGGCCTACAACGATGCGGATTACTACCACGCCGTGCTGTGGTTCCAGCAGTCCCTAAAACAGTTGGATGGCGGAGAGGAAGCTGTGGTCTCCAAAGCGGAGATTTTGGACTATCTTAGCTACTCCGTTTACCAAATGGGTGACCTGCCTCGAGCCGTTGAGCTGACACGGAGACTCGTTGCTGTTGGTAAAGAGGTTTTTCATTTTTACTAAAATAAAATTGTGATTTTGTTGCTTCTCATGGCTGCCAGTCATTACAACCACAACTCTTTACAGAGACGTAATTATTGGGTAGCCCCTTTTTTTATTTCTCACTAATAACAACAGTCCACTCTCTTCTCTGGCTCTGAATGGTTTGCGCTCTGCTCTGTTCTCGCCACAGCAGCGGGGTGTTGTCCATTCCACAGAGAGGCTGGTGGTTTGAAACTGTTATTTCTGACCTAAGGGCTCTGTGGACAGCTGCAGACCATCTTCTTTGGGCTGTGGTGTCCTTGTTTACGTGTCATTGGAAAAGGAATTTAGGTAGAGTGGATGCAGATCCACTTTGTGCTAAAAGGAATAAAAATGCATACAGAGCAGATAAAACCCAAGCAGCAGTCTTTGTTAAATCATGTTAGTTTAGTCTTCAAACTTAGCAGAAACAGAAAAGATAGAGATGCAACAATTAGAATGTTCAGAATTGCATCTCAAGAGTTATGAAAATGTGCTGTTCTGCTTATGTAACTAATCTGATGGCATTTGCCCTAAGACACAATTCCAGGGGGATACACGTGTTATGCCACTATATGGTGGATGTTTTTCTCATAATGTCCACAAGAGGTCAGACTTGCTCTCATCATGCAAGCCAATGTAAAAAATGGAAATGAAAGCTATTATACATCACTGCATTGATATGAACAACTCATGCTTTCCCCCCGGTAGACCCCAGCCACGAGAGGGCGGGAGGAAACCTCCGTTACTTTGAGCTGCTGCTGTCCAAACAGCTAAATGAGATGAACCAGGCCTACCAGCCTGCCTCTGAGGAGTCCATCCAGCTGGGGACATACACCAGACCTAAAGACCACCTTCCAGAGAGGGAGGCCTACGAGGCTCTGTGCAGAGGAGAGGGGGTTCAGATGGTAATAGCTGTTGTTGCTTTTTATTCAACCAAATCTTGATATAAATTTGATCCAAAACAAATTTGTCTCATTAATGTAAGCCATTCTTCCTTAGCAGAGCATTTAATAAAATAACTATCATAAATTACACGAGTAAGTTTTCTTCAGTCTTTTGTGTGTGTTTATGTTTCCTTTAGACTAAAGCAAGGCAAAGCCGTTTATTCTGTCGCTACCAGGATGGCAACAGGAACCCTCGTCTCCTGCTGAAGCCAATGAAGGAGGAGGACGAGTGGGACAACCCCCACATCGTACGCTACCTGGAAATGCTGTCAGACAGAGAGATCGAGAAGATTAAAGAGCTGGCCAAGCCCAGGGTGAGACCTGAAGTTTTGGCCTCCTGCTTTCTGCTGGCTAACTGCTTATTTGTTTACAAAATCCTCGGTTTCCAACGTAAAAATACATTTCTTTGCACACTTTCTCTAACCTTGCAGCTTGCCAGAGCGACGGTTCGTGATCCTAAAACAGGAGTTCTGACCACAGCCAACTACAGAGTATCTAAAAGGTCAGCCTTTAAAAAGAAGGGACTCATTTGGTTCCTTTTTATTTATTTGATTACTAGATTAGGCATTTTCTTACCTTCATTGACCAAAATTATAATATTAAATGGCTTTAACATGTACATTTGTTTTCACGTGTAGCATGAAATGACGTGAAACTTGTGATGAAAAAGCTGAAGAATCATTTTTACGTGAAACATTTTAACTTTAAACTATCATATTAATTGTTTAAAAACATAAGATCTTATAATTTTTTACAATCTCATAGTTTTTTCTATTCTATTGTTTATTATTATGGCTGATTGATCAAGCTATGTAAAATAAGAAAACTAACTGTGTGCATAATGAATAATTTGTTCAGTGCGTGGCTGGAAGGAGAAGAGGATGTTGTTATTGATAGAGTTAATCAGAGAATAGAAGATATCACCGGCCTGACGGTGGAAACAGCAGAATTACTGCAGGTAATAAATAAATGACCATTTTCTCTTATTTGATATAAAATATCTCCCCTATGAAGCTTTCAGTGTTAATTTTGACAGTACATTTTTGTTTAGTTTGTCTTTGGAATAAAATTCTTTTTAATTTAGTCGTCCAATTTGTTTTAATTTTAGTCTTACTTTAGTCGGCTATAATAAATGTGTATTTTTCTTCTGATGCATAATTTTCAACTTCTGCAAAGGAAATGTTAACTACACTTATTGGAAACTGTAAAGCAATAGGAAATATTTTGGATCGGAGGAGCGCTGCGAGACAGAGTGCCCCCCCCCCTCACACACACACACACACACACACACCCCGATGGTCGAAGCCGCCAGGCTCAACTCATTTTCTGCGGGAATCCCTGCTATATTTATAATTGTTTTAATAACAACAGTTTGAAATTGTGTCTCAGTATTACTAAAGTACACACATCTGTATAATGTGCAGTAATATTTGTAAGCATGACAGGAAATGACATCATGCAATTTAAACCTTAAAAAATGTTACCCTGATAATGCGAGGGGTAAACTAAAGGGGTTTTCCCCAAACTAATTTACCAAGGTAGGTTGAGCGTTATTTCCTCACAAAAACATCGCTCTTCATGCCCTCACCCACCTCGGCTCGCTGCTACCTCCGTAACACTTTTATAACGTGGGGAAACCTCGGACGTGTACTCACCAAATACTTTTCAGATCATCACATCTAATGCTTTTCCTCCCAGCCGTGGACATTTTCTCCTTTTAGACATAACTTGTTCAGCTATTACACGCAGCTTGTTCAAGTAGCAGTCGGCTCCGGATTGGTTCTTCTCTCGTCTAGTCCCACTTGTTCCTTTTGCTGATTGGTTCTTTTCCGTTCCTCCCGTCGTTCTTGTTTTCTGATTGGATTTTTGCTACTGTCAATTTTTGTCTTTTATTCGTCAACAAAGTATTTATCAATATTCGTGATAATTGAGTTTTAAGTATTTTTTTAGTTTTTGTTTCGTTTTCGTTCGCAAAAAGTTATTCATATAAAAAAATGAAAATAGTTGGTCAACAAAATTTACACTGGAAGCTTTCTCTTTTTTTCTTTACAACCACATAAAAGGTTCATCCCATTGTCATACTGATCATGAAATCTTGTTTCATGATGGTCAAGTCAGTGGATAAAAAATATTTATAATGTCCTGTTTTTTACTGAGTGTTTTTTTTATGGCTCACCAGGTTGCTAACTATGGCGTTGGTGGACAGTATGAGCCACATTTTGACTTCTCCAGGGTGAGTTCAGTTTCTTGCTGCTGCTACGTCTCCCTTTGATGGTGTGAGGATTGCCTGAATTTTCTTCTGTTGTGTTGGTCTTAAAACCCATTTAGGATTTATGAAATATTTTCTTTTTATGAGTTAATCAAGTTTTGAATCTGGGGAATTATAAAAACACTAATTGGGTATACTGTGTTTGGACAACCCTTAAAGGCATAAGCAGGTTGTTTTGGGACCTTGTCGGGGTCAGCCTCTTTATCCCTGCATACCTGCTGTTGTGAGGATTCTGGATTAGCTGTGTGTGCACTTTTTGACACTCACTTTTGTTTTCAGACTTTTAAAGAAAGAAACCCCAAGTTTAACCCCCATGTCTCTGTTCCTACCTTATGAGGAACAGGCTTGTTTGTTTTGATACATTACCTGCAGTACCCATATTTGACCACAAGGTGTCAGTATTTTTTTGCAGCTTCAAACGGATATTAAATCATTAAATCTATAGTTTTTATTTATGTAATTTAAAATGGATAAAATATCTTAAACAGCTAAATTAAAAGAAAATACAGAAAGCAAACAGAGGCAAGTGTTTCAAAAAGTTGAATATACTTTTTAATCATCATAAAAACGTATTTGTAAGATTTTTGAAGTATGCCATTGAAATGGAAGCTGTAATTTAATTACCTGAATCTGTTCTCCTTTTTAAAGATCTTTTTTCCTGATAGTTAACAGAATACTCTGGATGCGAGTCCACTAAGTGCGCTAGGCAGCAGGCTCCAAGTGTGAACCTTTTGATAACGGGTTAAACCTATAAACATCTGTTACAGCGTCCTTTTGACAGCAACCTCAAGGTCGATGGAAATAGACTTGCTACCTTCCTAAACTATGTAAGTAATTTGTGTTCTGCTTTGTTCTCGTATTTTACTTTGTCTTCATAGAAAGATGAGCCTGATGCTTTCAAAAGATTAGGCACTGGAAATCGCATGGCAACTTTTTTAAACTACGTAAGTATGTGCGCTCAGTCGCCGACAATAGGAGGCTAGTTGTGGAAACCGTTCAAAATCTTTATTTTTTGCTTATTGGACGAAAGCATATGCTCTGGTTCAATCTTGGACTTGGATTGATTGACTTTCATAGACCCCTATATTTTATATCTTATGTCGATCATATTTACAACACCATACTGTAGGCTGAAGCAATTCATCTACTCGCCCCGTAAACGGGATTTATTCTCAGGAATCTTTGCAGACAAGTAGTAGTTTTTTTTTCTTCTTTTGTCAATCAGTTCCAGTACATATTGTGAAGAGTTTTGCTGGCCTTTCCCCTTTAGCATGCCAGTATCCATCCCCCATACTAAATTAGCTGTGTTGTAATATTTGCATGAAAAAATATGGTGATTGCACATTCAGAAAACAAAACTGTAGTTTGGTTTATTATGATAATTTTGGTCATTATTTGAATAAACCAAGTTGCAAACTGAAATATCCCCTTTAAACAATCAGATATGTAGAAATATAGTATAAAATAGATTTTTATAAACTATATTTTTTCCTCTGTCTCAAACTATTACAAAGGTGTGATTTCCCTGGACTACCAAAAGACCTGGTTTCATTTTAAATCAAATATCAAAAGATCAATAATATTGATCATTCATATTTATATAGAATATCACATCTTATTGATCATTTCTTTAAAGTAACCACTTACATCACATTACACTGTATTTAGTTCTATCCATCATCTATAGAATCCTCATAATAAATCAGATTAATGCTAATTTAGGGGTAAAGACATGGATATTTCAGTTACAGCTACCAGGAGAAAATACACAAGGAGGTAGTGCGGGTTGCCTCATGATTGGAGAATTGCGTGATCAACTCCACCTTCCACCAGGAGTATTCTGCTGTAGAGTCCTTGGTCAAGAGACACTTCACCCAATTTGCCTGTGTTGGTGATCAGAGGGGTTGATGGTGCAAAATGGCAGCCTTGCCTCTTATCAGACCGCCCCTGGGTGGCTGTGGCTACATATTAACTTACCATTACCAGCAGTGTGTCAGTCAATCAGTCAATGCTTTATTTATATATAACGCCTTCCCACAACCCAACTTTGGGTGCCCAAGGCACTAGAACACATCATAGAAAGACATACAATCATGAAAAGAGAAGTTAAAATGTAGAAAATAAAGCGTAGAGCATGAGACAGAGGAATGAAACAGTGAATAAAAACTAATTCACAAGAAATAAAACAGCAATTAAAAACAAGAATTAAAAATAACATTAAAGCAAGCCAACTTCAAACATGTTCTGGAAACGCTAAACACAAAAAATAAAGTTTTCAGTCGACTCTTGAGGTCGACAAGGAGGTAGACAGCCTAATTGCAGATGGCAGCTGGTTCCACAGTGACGGGGCTAGAACAGAAAAAGCCCGGTTCCCACTAGTTCCACAGTGCGAGGGATGGCAATGTGTTTCATCAATGTGAAAGTGTGTGAATAATGGAAGGCACTTTGAGGGCCTAGAAAAGTGCTAAATAAATCCAATCCATTATTATTATTGTAAGTTGAAAATATATAGTGCAGGGCAGAATCTTGCATCTGTTGAAAGCTGAGTTATATTAAAAAACAGCTAGGAGGCAAACCTTTTCATTAGTTTGAACCCTCCCACTGTCTTCATGAGTGACCCCGTGAGGAAAGTTGACCATTGAACAGGGCTGATGGTTTATCCCTTGAGGTCCACATGGCAGGGGTGAGGTGGTGCTCACTCCTCACCCCTGCCACGTGGACCTCAAGGGATAAACCATCAACCTTGCTCAATGGTCAACTTTCCTCATGGGGTCACTCATGAAGACAGTGGGAGGGTTAAATCAAGCTATCATAAATTTTCCATGTAATCAGAAAATGAATGAAAATTTAGTAACATATTACCGTATTTTCTGGACTATAAGTCACACTTTTTTCATAGTCTGGCTGGTCCTGCAACTTATATACCAAATTATGTATACTGCGTTGCTGAGGGCCGGCTCCAGTCCAGGAATGAGCTCCCCTGCTGGAGACCGTTGCACGCTGCTGCGGGCCGACTCCAGTCCAGGTTTTAGCTCCTCTGCCCCGCTGGGAGGGTTTCAAACACCGCCATGACCTGCTGCAGCCTGTGGCGGGGTGCTGCGGGCGCTCTCCCCGCCCGCTGGGAGGGTTTGAAACACCGCCATCCTCTGCTGGAGACCGTGGTGCACTGTTGCGCCTTGATTGTTTATTCTGTCATTGTTACCGGTACTTGTCTTGCAATGTGAAATGCTTGGTCTCAGATTTTGTAAGAAAAATAATAAAATTTGCCCCCAAAATGCGACTTATAGTCCAGTGCGACTTATATATGTTTTTTTCTTCTTCATTATACATTTTATGGCTGGTGCGACTTATACTCCGGAAAATACGGTATTATGTTTGTGGTTGGTTGTGATTCATTCTTTTGATGTGTTTTTTTTTTATTTATTTTTTTCCACTAATCATCACTTGACTGAATTGATTTTGAAATTGATCGGGAGTTTCCTTTTTTTTTTTTCCTTACATTTGCATGCTGCTGTCTCGTAACTTTTTATTTAAAGCAACACTACTCCTACTGGTTGAAAGCAAAATTACAACGTTTGTAAACAATCCTGCCACATCCTGCTGTAGCTAGCGCTAAGAACAAGTTAACACTAGAATGAGCCAACTGATACCAAATAAGCCATGAAGCCAAAAGATCCACAGTGTTATGGGCTCGACACACGGGAGGCGACACACGACCGCATTCAGCGAAATTCGTCGCTGTCGCTTTTATTACCTGACACACGGGAGGCGACCCGCGGCCAGCGGCAAAACCATCTACGCGTTCTTTTCCATGGCGAAATTGAAACTTCCGTTGTTTTGTTTGGCTGTGTCAGGTTGGAGGGAATTAAGGTTATTTAAGCAGTTCAGAGTTAATTAAGTGGTAGATATGATATTTCACAAGGTGCTGCTAGAGTTATGTGAAATCTTACTTCTGATTTTACTATATAAAACTTAATAATAATCAACTTCTCCTTCATGTTTGCTCGGAGATGTACGGAGCATCCTGTCTGCTCATTGGTCAGTGAATGAAACCTCTGTTGATTGGTCCTCGTCCGAGCGACAGCGATGAAAAGTTGAAAATGTTTCAACTTTCTGGGATTGCGTCGCTGGGTCGCCCGTGCACGAGCGCAAAATTTCACATGCACGCTTTCCCGTTTCGCTTAGTAGGAGAGAGACCCGCGATTATCGTTTTTTCGCGCATGTCTCATTGAAATTGAATGGAGGAGAGGCGATGTCGCCTCCCGTGTGTCGAGCCCATTAGACAAAAAATATCACTACCTTCAAGTCCAGTAGCAACAAAGCTAGGTCACTATCAGTCCGTGATTTTGTAGCTTTCTTTAGGTCCCTCAAACTAGTGTAGGCCGTGCCTATGTTCACTCTGATTTTAGCTCTTTGCTTCACCTCCTAAGAAATTACTCCTATTTACGTCCAGGCTCTTCCATGATGCCAACAGAAAAGCAAACTTCTTTTTTTTTCCTTCTTGTGGTTTTTATTGGCTTACCAATTTTGGACCAGTGATGATGGTTTGATGGTTTTACAAACACGGGGCTGCTGTTTTCAGTTTGTCTGTGTTCTTTTATCTGTATTATTAAACAGAATGAATGAATAATTAAGGAAAAGTTCTGAGTCTCTGTGTTTTCTCTTTTCAGATGAGCGACGTTGAGGCGGGAGGAGCCACAGTCTTCCCTGATTTTGGGGCAGTGATTTGGCCCAGAAAGGTTCTGTGTTTGCCACTATGAAGTTTGATTCGTAGTGAATAAGATTAGACTTAAATCAGATTGGCTGTGTTTATATGAAGGATGCAAATAAGCTGCTGAGTTATCCGTATATTGTTTACCAAAGTTCTTCATTCTCAGCATCTTTAGTCAGTTTTTATTGATGTTCTTTGGCTTTAACAAGAATTTTGACCTTTTTGTTGTTTGTCTGCAGGGGACAGCAGTGTTCTGGTACAATCTCTTCAGGAGCGGGGAGGGAGACTACAGGACAAGACATGCAGCCTGTCCGGTTCTTGTAGGAAGTAAATGGGGTAGGTCAAAGTTCAAGCTGAAAGAAAATGATTCATTTATTTTAAAGGGGTGCAAATTTTTTGTCCATTTCTTTTCTCCTTTTTTGTCAGTATCAAACAAGTGGATCCATGAGCGAGGTCAGGAGTTCAGAAGACCTTGTGGCCTAACAGAAGTGGATTGAAATTTACCCATTTTCACCCAAACACACACTCCTTAGTGCCTTTATTTCTATTAATGGTGCCATTTGTGATGCTTTCAGGACCTAACTTGTCGGTGTGGTCAATCATTTGCAAAGGAATTAGAATGAACTTTCGGAGCATTTTTTATTTTGAAATTATTGACTTCTTACCACAAGTGGTTATGATTCAGTTTAATTGGAGAAATCAAACAAAAAGGTTATAAGCATCAAATTAAAAATCATCAAAAAGAGACCTTTGTTTCTCAGAATGTTTTAAATTAGCATTTATTTTCTAAAAGGTTTTAGTGTATTTATTGTTCTTTTTGAAACAAATCCAAAAGCACTTTGGCTCTCAGGTGGACATTTATTCTTTCTTGCTTTTTCATCTTTAGTGTGAGTAGTTGAGATACAGACAAGTCAGTGTCTGCCGTAAAAAAGGATTGATGCACTATTTGCTGTGGTGTTTTAAGACAATGCTTTGAAGTCTTTGTCTTAAGGTTTATTACACATTTCCAATATTGTTTGTGGGGCTTTTTGTCCAAAGAAGTCCTCTGATTAGGAACAAGACACTAAGTAAGGAAAAAGAAATCCCGTGCTATATTTGAATAAAAAAAAATGAATTAAATAAATAACATTTTGTACCACATTTGTAAAATGTCACTAATTTGATTTGTGGTGACTTCACCTGCTCTGACAGTCTCATTTGTCTGTTTATTTTTTTCTTCTTAATTCTGATATCCACTAAAGTAGCTTTAATTTCCCTGCACACATGGCAACACATCTTTTTCACTTTTAAATGATTTATTTTATTTATATAGTGTTTAAATTATTATGCTACTGTCTGCTCATTCTGCAAGATGCCAATCTAAAGGTAAATAAACTCTTAATAAAAAGTTTTTGTCCATATTTGATTGTTTTTCCACTTTGAAATAATTTTGAGTTTTTATTATTTTACATTCATGAGAACAGTCTTGTAGATGTTCTTATGAATTCATCACACTTTTTTTGTCCATTTGATCTTGTTAGCGATGCCGTGAGCTGGTGCCTATCTTCATTTAATCATTGAGCAGTATGCCCTTTACACCCTGGATGAGACAAAACAATATATTCACTTGCATACACACACACACACACCTTGGGCCAATTCAGAATATTGTTATAAAGAAACTGCAACCTAAAAGATTTGCATGCACAGGGAGAACATGCAAACGTGCGGGGAGCTGAACCAGGGACTGCGAGGCAACCATGCTAGCCAATGGTGCAGCTAAACAAGCTGTATATAACTGAAAAAATAAAATACAAAATATTGGACTTGAACAAAATTTTGAACAGTTTTTTCATGTCTAGTTTGTCCATTTCAATCATTTTTTAATCAAAGCAACAATAAATATGACAAAAAACAATCCAAGGTTGCATACCACTAAAGCTAAATTTATTAAATAATTTACAAAGCCTCATAAATACGATGTACATTTTAGGACATCCTCAGGTGTCTGACATCAGACTAGAATAAAAAGGCTTTGGTTTCATTCATTTTTCTCTGACTCCTGAGACCTGAGGATGTCCTAAAATGTACACCGTCCCTAACGCCCAATGCTCACATCAGTCAAAGCAAGATGACAGCCTTTGATCTTTCAATGTAAATTGTCAAAACTTTTAAAAGTAGTTAACTGAAATACAAAGTAGACAACAAAAAGAAGACCGCTGAATGAAACATGCACGTTCTAAATGATTCACATGCAGGCCTACTTATTTTTTTCTATCTGAAACAGCAAATGTGACTGAAACACCAGTGGGGTTGTTCTTACAGCAACCATGCGAGTTTTGATCTGAACATTCCTGATTTTCGTTCACACCTTGGTTGTCAAACTAGCCCAGACATGTTGGGAATATCATAAACCTGGAATGCTGTTGATAGAAACCACCTTCACTCCACTTGTCAAACCCCTTTGGGGCTCTTGGGAGCTCACATGTTGCAGCACTTTGGATGATCGAGGTACAGGCTTGAGCAACACCACAAAGAATATTTGTTCTTCTCAAAGGTGTGAATTAATGAAGGTGTCTGCACTGTAGTAGGCTGTCTCATTGACAGAGACATCAAAGAATGTATGTGCACAAAGAAATTAAAGCACTTTTTAGTGGATTTGTTGAGATGTGAGGAAGTAAGCTATTGTATACACCTGAGGCAGGAGCTTCCCATACATCATGTGATAATGTGTAGTTTCCCAAGGAATCACACACAAAATGCTGTTTTGTTGACTAAAAACATTAACAGAACACTATAGTAAAATAAAGTATTATCAACATTAAAAAAATCATTTTGGCAGCAGATTAAATCCTTGATGTTCATAATAATTTAATCTTCATGGAATATTTCTCACAAGAACCTTTATGTGGTTGAAGTTTGAACATGAACCCGAATCGACTTGTGCTAATTTACAGTACAGCTCTGAGCGTTGTAGTTTGTGTGGCTTAGGAGCAAAGTTTCCTGGTTAGGTCAGAGGTTTGAGATCCATGTAGGAAGCGCCGATTTCCCGAGCAGAAGGAAGAAACCTTTGGTTCAAGTCAGGATACAAGACGGCAAATGCTGAAAAAGAGCAAGAATTACTGAAGTATTCAAAATTAAAATGTTGGAAACCAAAAAATAAATAAATAAAACAGGCATGTCATCTAATAATGTTCAAAGCCGTCCTATCTTTTAACTTTCTACAAGCATAAAGACTGATCCAGTGTTTTTATTTAGCCAGAAGCAGTCTCCAGGATTCTTACCTGTCGAGGAGTGCCTTTTCCTGTGATTATTTTCAGAAACAAATGAGAGAAAGCTACACAGTGTGGCAAAACACCAACCCAAGACGTTGGCCCACAGCAGATAGAAATAGCTGTTACTGAACTTGGTGGAGAATATCTGATGATGGAGAAGATGAAGTTTATCTTTGATGAGGATGTAAAACATGAGTGGAAAAACTGACAGAAATGAGTCAGAGTTGTTTTCTTTTGTTTGGTTTTCACGTAATTCACTAACTGTGAAGATTCTCTACTTAAATTCAGTCAGTCTAGCGATCTGTCATGGTGAAGAGAGAACTGAACCGTAAGGCAAAGCTCTCGTTTTACCGGTTGATCTACGTTCCTACCCTCACCTGGTTACGAGCTTTGGGTAGATTGAGACTGTGGATCCAAGCGGCTGAAATTAGTTTTCTCCACAGGGTGGCTGGGCTCTCCCTTAAAGATGGAGTGAGAAGCTTAGTCATCTGGGAGGGGCTTGAAGTAGACCCGCTGCTCCTCCACATCAAGAGGAGCCAGTTGAGGTGGCTCGGGTATCTGGTTAGGATGCCTCCCTGGTGAGGGTGAGGTGAGGAGACCCAAAGGAAGACTCAGGACATGCTGGAGGGACTATGTTTCTCAGCTGGCCGGGGAACGCCTTAGGATTCCCCTGGAGGAGCTGGCCCAAGTGGGGAGAAGGAAGTCTGGGCCTCCCTGCTTAGGCTGCAGTCCCCACGACCTGACTCTAGATATGCAGCTGAAAACGGCTGCTGGATGGATTAAAAATGAATAAAAAGGTTGAGATGTGGTTCTTATCTGTTTTGCTTTGGGCCCCAAAAGGACTAAGTCCGCCTCTGCAGGGAGGAAGCGCTTCAGGACCGAGCTAGCGGAGAACGCTGCTGCTGGTCTGAGATCAGTGAGCTCATTCTGGCTGCTGGGAGAGGAGGGCGGGGCTCCCAGTATCATCATCACCACCGGCCATCACCGCTTCATTGTACAAGCTGCTGCTGCTCATCCAGACATACGGTTGAAAAATAAAACCCAAGCCACGAAAACACCATGGGCAGAAGGCCGCTGGGATCCATCAGGAGGTGAGTCGTTTATTCTGCCTGTGTTTTGAACCGTCTAATCCGAGAGTTTGTGTCGGACTAGCGGGCCTGCTGGCTGGATCCACCCCCACAGCTGCATCTTTAGAAGATTTATCCAGCTGAGCCCGGACTAATATAACATGAAACACTGGTGTTTTAATTCGCCTCGTCAACGCGGTAAACGCGTGTTTGTGCGCAAGTATAGCAGCGGTGTAGCCCGCATCATGTCGGGTCGCAGCGCGCCGGCCTACACACCGAAGCCCTCTAGTGATGAAGATGAAGATGATCGGAAAGATGATGTCCGAGCTCAACCTTCCTACACACGACGGAATCTGACCCTGCGTGCATCTCACATTGATGCTGATTTAAACGCGTTTGTTGTGCAAATTAAATAAATAAAAAATAAGCAGCATCCGCGTTTGTTTGCGCTCCAATGATTGCACATTCAATAATTTATGGTATCCTGTATTCTATGTGGCCGTTTTTTATTGCTTGTTTTTCTGGTGAGCATTAATCGAGAGGATGCTGCAGTGATGCTGCAAGAGGATGCTGGTCATCTATCTGACTGGCAGGCTCAAGAGTCTGGAGCCTGCAGCCTTCAGGGTGTTGCACTGGTCTGTCCCGGTTTAACAGACGCTGGTGAGCTTCTGTTTCAGGATCAGCACTGATGTAGGCCACAAGTTGGATGTTTATAGATCACATTGAAAATCAACAAACAAAATGATGGCAATGTGACCTAAAAGCTGCAGGAAAGTTACTGTAAAAAGAGTTAAAGGTAACATTTTTAACACAGTTATTTTGAATTTGACAGCTTTAGCTGAACACAAAACATTTTACTTATCTAACGATCAACGATAAGGAAATGACCATAACATCGATTTCTGCTTACCAATCAACTGTCAGAGTTAATATTTGTTTACATAATAATAAAAACCAATTTAAGGCCAGAATCTGCAAGCCACTCTCTATGAATCATGACTTAAGTTTAATTTGTTTGGGATGATGTTGTGATGTAAGATGTTTAGGCAAAAATGGCCTTTAATCAGGTTGTTTGAGGTCATAAGGTCAAATTTGTAAAAGAAAAAACGCTAAAACAGAAAAAAAAGATCCATTATGAATCAGAATAAACATAAAATCGGTTGATAAATAAATAATAATCACAAATATTGCATTTATTCAAAATTATGTAGCACAGTTACTTATGAAAACTCACACAGTTCATTATTAATTTCAAAATAAGAGCATTGGGTGCCCAGAGCACTAAATTATGACCTGTGTTCATGTTGTCCATGTTCCATCCTTAATTATTTTAGAGACTGAATAATTGCCATCAGAAATAGAAACTTAAATCATCATCAAGTTTTATTTTGAAAGCACAAAGTGTTTAGAGCAAAACAGGAAGTCATTCCTGCAGGACTGACCCATGGATGCATGGGATATGGGACATATTGGGATTGTAAATAACCAGAGGAGTTTGTGTACAAATTAAAATTATGGTTCTGTAAAGATTTAGAATTAATATTGCATAAACATTCTACGAAACCCCACATCGGAGCTTTTAAGACTCCAGGAATCAACTTTGACCATGGCTTAGAAATGATCTACAACTTTTACACAAATGATTAATTTAACCCATCTGTTGCAGGTTCCTGTTTCTAATATCTGGCGTTAAGCTAGCTCTCCTACAGGTTTGGCATTTTGCTCAAACAGACCAGATTAAAGGCTTTTTTTTGGCTTTTAAACTAAAATATAATCCAGACCTGCTTTACTCACGCCTAAACATACTTAGGCCTTACATCACAACATCATCCAGACTGATTAAACTTACGTTGCTTATTTACAATAAGGGGATGCTAGCATTCGTTTTTTGCTAAATCAATTGCATAACAAGGATTAGCAGGAAGCAGCCCTGAAACGTAGGAGTTTGTTTGCTGCAAAAAAGACCAGAGAGATCAAACCAGATGTGACACTCTTTGGAGTATTTAGGAACACGTGGATGGAATCACTAAACGAGTCTGGATGTCTACGGCTGAGATTAGGCAACGCTGGCAACACGAGTGCTGCAGACCATTTCTAATAAACACATTATGTAATTTCTCACCTTTGTCTTGTGTCATAAAAGTTAAATATAAGCAGCCAGGCTGAATGGGACGTGAGGTATGGATGCTCCCTGTTAGCCTGATGGTGACTCAAAAGGTGTTTCTAGCACATCTTCACTGTTAATAAATGTGCTGATTTTTATTTTGTATAAAACTGACATTGCAGAATGTAAAAAAATCATTAAACTATGGAGCTTCTCAGAATCGTGCTGATCAGATTCCCCAAAAGTTGATGTAAAAGGTGCTGCTCAGTAGACCTTTAAGTGAGAAAATAACAAAAAGTAGGGATGCACGATATGTCAGCAGCAGTAGCTCAACCAGCTGAGCGGGTTGTCCAGTAATCGGAAGGTTGCAGGTTCGATCACGGCTCCGGACAGAGAATTCTGCTGTTGTGTCCTTGGGCAAGACATTTAACCTACCTTGGTGGTGGTCAGAGGGACCGGTGGCGCCTGTGCTCGGCAGCCTCACCTCTGTCAGTGCGCCCCAGGGCAGCTGCGGCTACATCGTAGCTCATCACCATCAGTGTGTGAATGTGTGTGAATGAATGAATGATACACTGTAGTGTAAAGCGCTTTGGAGTCCTTACTCTGAGAGGTGCTTTACAAGTGTGGGTCATTTATCAATATCGGTATCGGCCGATGTTAGTAATTTTTTTACATATTGTATCGGTCCGATAAGTAAAACTGGGCCGATATTAACAAGCTGTGTTTTTTTTTACATCTTGTTTACGTTTGTGTGTCTGTTTCAGAGCCCAATGTTTAGTCATGTGACAGTGATTGTAATCATCTCAGAAGCATAAATGTGTTTGGTTTGTGTTTATTACAACGTAAATGTAAACACCATACACACATAAATATAATCACATCTATACAAAATCTGCTGATTTCAGAAACGTGTGTGTGTGTGTGTGTGTGTGTGTATGCATGTGTGTGTGTGTGTATATTTTATATACATACATTAAATATATACATTTTTATATATAATCTGTATAGGTAAATATTGGTTATCGGCCATAACAGAAAAATTTATATTGGTATTGGCATATTGGTGCGTCCCCAATAAAAAGCATTTATAATTTATTATGTAAATAGAAAAATCTTATTGAAGCAACTGAACCCGAGTGAAAAACTTAAATGACTAAATAAACCAAAAACTACTAACTTAAACAAAATTCCTCATGAATATTAGCCTGGCAAGCCAGACTATACATGTGAAGCTTTGCAAAGCAAGCATTTGGTCTAGTTCACCAGGCTACAAGAATATGGCAATTTAGGAAGAAAATGTATCAATGCTGTTACAATTATCTTAATATTAGTTTAACATTTAAACTAATATCACATTAAATTACTGTACAATCCTATTACCCCAGATTTTATGTTGACCATTTTATTTGCTTTTACATTAAAGGGTTAGTTATTCATTTGCTGATTCCAATCACATTATTCCCAGCCAGCAAATATTTCCAATCTCTTCAATCAATCAATCAATCAATCAATCAAAGATACTTTATTAATCCCAGAGGGAAATTAGAGTTTCAGTACACATAATTCAGAGATCAGACATACATGGGCAAGACACATGACAAGAATTGGTGACTGTGGCCATTCGCAACCCTGAGTCGCGCTACCTTAATAGAGATAAGAGGGTAACATGAGGATTGGTTCAGGTGGAGGGAAAAAAGAGGCACTTCAGAGCTACTCTCCAGCAGGACGGCATCTTTGCTCTGCAAAAAAACAAACAAACAAACAAAAAAGTAACACCTCAGACAGAGATATGCAACAGACTTCAGACAACATAACATAAGTGGCCACTAGGAGGGGTGGTATGGTGGGACTATCCCAGCTTCAGCTCCTGCAGAGCTATTATTAGAAAGAACTCTTGTGTTCTTTCTAATAATCTGGAATTGTTAGCAGACTATCTTGGGATATAAAACTTTAGCTAACTTCACCTTGAAGATAATTTATCCAGATTCTGGTATTTGAACGATAAAGTCTTTGAACTCTATGAAATTGTTTTTGTTTAACTTTAGCCTAATTCTTGGGCTCCTGGTGCCTCGTTAATATGTTTGATTTAATTTCATTACATTTCTGTCGCATTTTAACACTTTTGTATCCTTTTTTTTCTTCAGTTAAAGCACAGAACACAGCAACACTTTGAGATCTGATTGATAGTTTTGTGCCTGGAACTGATTGATTGATGTTCTTTCATTTCACTTTTAAATGATTTTGTAAAAATGTTTCAGCTTCTTCAAACAGCCTTAAATGACAACCTGCATCTCTTTCTGTCTATTTAACAAGGCCTGCCATCTTGCATCCTGGTTTTGAGTTATGTTCTTCAAAGCCCTCCTTCTCCTCTTAGCTCTTTTATCTGATTTCACATGTCTTATTATCACCATTCAATAAGAATTAAATCAGGTTATTTAGTAAAAATTCTCTTGTTCAAATCAGGCTTTTTTTCATGTGTCCTACAGGACTGATAAGCTAATGGCTAGTCTGAGCACAGTCAAAACCAAAGTATAGTGTTCCTGTTTTAAAACATCATTCTTTAAAATTGTTTAAAGATTTCCGTAACATTCATACCTCAACATTACAATCTAGATTATTTAAGGGTTTATAAAATAACATTTGCACGGACTACTGTGAAGCTGAGACGATGGGAGCTGTTTTAAAACAACATCAATCTGCTTCAGAGCTGAGTCCATTTGGGCAAGCTATTTTAGCTCATTACAAAGCAGATTGCCAGCCTGGCAAGCCATCCTATGAATGTGAATATGTGGTCACACTGACAGATCTCAGTCATGGAGCAGAATCTACGGTTGTCTTTCAAACTGTCTCCACATGCTATTGGACAACGGACAACATGACATACTCAATGCTACGGAAGTCAGTCAACGGGGCAGACCGCCATACATTCATTCATTCATTTTTATTCATTCATTTTTATCAAAGAAGATGCAATACATTCTTTTCTAAATCAAGGACTCAAGTACCTCTATCTGCTCAAATTGCCCAAAGTTGATGCCAAAGCTGTTTCAAACGAGCCGTCATCTTTTTTCCCCGCTCTGTCGCATGATCACACCCACCAAACCAATAGAGTGCTGTGACTGGCAAGGCACAAGTCTCGGGGTTACTGAGTACAGTTACCATGTCTGGTGTGTTCTCTGCAAACTGCTGTTTTTGCTCAAACTTTAACAAAAGCAGCAAAAGTGAAAATTAAGAGAGCATCACCCTCTTACTAAAGATGGTCTTGATTCAGAAAAGGGTAGAATGCCTCCTCCGGGTCAGGGATGAGGTCTTGCCCCAAGTGGAGGAGTTTAAGTATCTCGGGGTCTTGTTCACGAGTGAGGGAAAACTGAGATCGATAGGCGTATTGGTGCTGCATCTGCAGTGATGCGGGCATTGTACCGGTCTGGCGTGGTGAAGAGAGAGCTGAGTCAGAAGGCAAAGCTCTCGATTTACCGGTCGATCTACGTTCCTACCCTCACCTATGGTCATGAGCTTTGGGTAGTGACCGAAAGAACCAGTAAAAGCGGCCGAAATGAGTTTTCTCCTCAGGGTGGCTGGGCTCCCCCTTAGAGATAGGGTAAGAAATTCAGTCATCCAGAGGGGCTCGGAGTAGATTCGCTGCTCCTCCACATCGAGAGGAGCCAGTTGAGGTGGCTCGGGCATCTGGTCAGGATGCCTCCTGGACGCCTCCCTGGTGAGGTTTTCCGGGCACGTCCAACCAGGAGGAAACCTAAAGGTAGACCCAGGACACGATGGAGGGACTATGTCTCTCACCGGGCCAAGGAACACCTCGGGATTCCCCCGGAGGAGCTGGCCCAAGTGGCTGGGGAGAGGGAAGTCTGGGCCTCTCGACTTAGGCTACTATCCCCGCGACCCGACTCCAGATAAGCGGATGAAAATGGATGGATGGATGGATGGATGGATGGATGGATGGGTAAATAATGGTTTACCATTATGTAAAAAATACACAATTGATTATTTAATGTCTTTTTCTGTCACACGTTGCACTGTAAATGTCCTCGTTCCTGGAGCAACATGAAAACAATAAAATAATAGTTACGTAAATATGAGAAGTACAAAAATGTTAGTTACTAATAAAAAATGAATGGTTGAAATAGATCAGGTGAAGTGGTGATGGATCAAAAAGAAAGAAAACAATGGTTTTATTTTCTTTCTCATTTTTAGCGAAAGACATTTGGTACATGAGTACACGAGAAAACCATCAGAGTACATTCTGTGTTTTCTTCCCACCTTCACTGGAGGATTTCATTAGATGAGTTTTCTTTCTGACATCCTCCTCCAGATGCTTAGAAAGAAGAGAAGCCCTTTTTAAAAAGGTCCTGGAGTCACCACAGATCAATGAGCTAGAGCAGACTTAATGTGTTAGCTTTTCTAATCTGCAGCTCAAAATCTTGTTATGTCATCCCTCTGCAGATTATAAGAGACACATGCAACTCCAGTTAAATCTTCTTGGCAGTCCACAAAGTCTGTGTGTTTGTTGACAGATAATCAGATAACGTGTTTTTTGTTTAGCTGGGTGAACCTCTCGCCTTGTTTAAAGTTGCCTGTACAGAAGGCATAGCCATCTGCTAAAGAGCAAGTTCACTGAGAAACCATTTTCTACTTCTATTTGAAAAACGATTGGTCACTCTGAGTTTCACATGCAGGCTGAGCGTGATAATAGTCTTTTATCGCTATTTCCTGCATTAGCAGAAATATCGAGAGAAAATATCGGGGAAACACTCGAATTAGAAAAAGGCCAGTCACATCTACGTCACACTGAAAATTAGCACTCATGGACTCACATCTTGGCTTGCGACAGGATAGGCTGTTGTTGATTTAGCATCCAGGAGAGAATAGAGCGCATTCCTGCTAATAGGAGCTAACCATTAGCATTAGCAACTTCACAGCACAGCAGAACCCTTTCTACCTTGTGTTATCTGTGGAGATAAAATATCAACGTTGCAAAGCAAACAAAATCAGTGGTAGAGTCACGTTTCAGTTAACCAATCAGACGCAAGCTGCCCAATTATTAGGAAATAATAATGAGTAATGTTGTTTTCTGCTCCCATGTCCTCCAACTAACTTCTACTACCAGAAACAGGAGGGCCAGAACTTTGTTTCCCATGAAGATCGTCTCAAAAGGCATTCATTTTATACTATAGAATTGAAAAAACAAGTCTATAACACAAACATGTGCATGTCATCACACAAATCCCTCACTGGTTGTCCATTTTTGCTTCTCTATCCTCCTAGCTCGAGTGTTTAACCGGAGAAGGATGAGGAGGAGGACCTGGAAATCCTGGGAGCACCTTGGAAAATTTTCATGAAGTCTCAATGAAAGCATTAGAAGAGCTTCTCTAGTTGTTCAAACTATGGCTAAGAAAAGCCGGACGAAGGGCGAGAAGCCCGAAGCGCTCATTTCTGCCTTACAGGCAGCCAACGAAGATCTCAGGTCCAAACTGACTGACATTCAGATCGAGCTGCACCAAGAAAAATGCAAGGTAGGCAATCCAGATAGTTTTCAAACCCAGCCATTAAAAACATGGAATCAAACGGTTTATTTGTCAATCAATGCTCCTTTGTATAGGTGAGCAAGCTGGAGCGCGACAAGGTGCAGGAGGTGAAGCGGGCGCGAGAGCAGGAGCAGCATCGCCACACCGCCATGCTAACGGAGCAGCGGGCCAAGTGGCACGAGGAGAAGCAGAAGGAGCTGCAGACACTCAGGGAAAACCTGACCCGGCAGCATGAGCAGGAGCTGGCCCGTCACGCCAAGATCAAAGACCAGGAGAACCAGAGGCTCAAAGCTGCTCTGAACGCCATGAGAGACGGTAGTGGAGAGAAGGCGAGTCAAAATTAGATTTCCATTTGTTTTATTGATTTGTAAAGCTAAGAGTTAACGGCTGTTTATGCTATGATCCTTTATGCAATCTCCTCTTCAGGTGCGCACAGCGCTGACTCTTGAAGCCAAAGAGGAGGCGAGGCGCTTCTTTGACCAGGAGAGAGTGAGGCTCCTGCAGGAGATTGGAGAGCTGAAGGCTGCCAAGAAGCAGACTGACGAGGCTCTGAGCAACATGATCCAGGCGGACAAGATGAAGGCCGGAGACCTGCGGGTGGAACACCAGCAGCATCAGGAGCAGATCTCTAAGATCAAGTGGGACTGTGAGAGGGACATCCGCCGACTGGTGGGCTCAGCTGCAAATTCACAACATTAGATGAAAAGGGTCATTTTTATTGAATGGTATCAAAAATAGAAACACTATCTTGTCGTCTTCGTGATAGGTCGATGAAATCAAATCTAAAGACCGCACCATTTTTGCTTTGGAGAAAGAAATGGAGTCAACAGCCGGCTGCTTACAGAAGCTTCAGCTTCAGAAGGATGCTTTGGATGAGCAACTGTTCCTCGTCAAGGAGGCCGAGTGCGGCCTGGGAAGCCCGAAACGAGAGATACCGGGCCGGGCCGGAGATGGAGCAGAACAATGTGGAAGCCCTGTAAGCAATCACCCATCTGGGTTTTAATCATTTCAAACCTCAAGTTTAGTCAAAAATAAAATGTTTATTGAAGGAGTCCTGTACAGGTTTACAGTCACAGAAATGCAGTGGTGCACAATTAAATTTCAGAAAGCTCTAAAGAAAAATGAAAAAATAAGTATTTTGAGATCATATTTTGAAAAACTGAATGACTTCCTGACATCAGCTGGCGAAACGTCTCAGGAATAAAAAGGTGGATAATCAAAAACTTTGAAATAATCAAAAAGTTTGGATTTGTCCAGCTGCCGTCCTGCATAAAAGTGTATTGCTGTCCGATTATAGTTTTTGTTTAGTCGTCTTTCTTTCATTTTATTTTTCAACTTGTGGCTTCAGAAATGATTAAAACTGGATTAACGAGCCTCTGAGAGCAACTTTTGAACTCTTTAAAGTCACACAGGGATGTTTTTATAGGTCCTCTTTCATGCACACACTCAGCAGTACATAATACTGCAGTCTGTTGTTCAGTCTATGAGGTTTGAGATGTAGTTTTATCACAGCAGAGTGACATTAGACTTACAAAGTAAAGAAAAAGAGTGCTTGAACAAAACTGGATTTTTTTTTGTGTTTATTTCAGGACCTGAGGAGAAATCAGAGGCGTGTGGCTGAACTCAACTCAACCATTCGCAAGCTGGAGGATCGGAACTCGCTGCTGGTTGATGAGAGAAACGAGTTGGTAGGAGCAAATAATAACTTGATAAGCGCCCTTCTTTCTTCCAGGCTTTAATAAATACAAACATGTCTTTCCTACAGCTTAAGCGAGTTCGAGAGTCAGAAAAGCAGTGTAAGCCCCTGCTGGATAAGAACAAGCTGCTGAATAAGAGGAATGATGATTTGACCCAGACCATTCAGAAAATGGAGGAGAAACTGAAGAGCCTGATGAAGGAGAACTTTGAAATGGTCAGAAAAGATTCATTGTTATCACAGCGTTTACATGAAGGCTGATTAGTAGGACCGGGGTGTGAATTAGCAAGAATCTGGCGATATGATCACAATACCGAGGAGACAATACAATATGATGTGCTGCGATTAGTGGGTTCGGAATTTAACGCGTTAATTGCAATTAAATTATTAGGAAAAAAGAACACGTAACAAATGTACCCCTTTGAACCCGAGCGCCTATCAATTGGGAGCAGGAAATTTTAGCATCACGATTTATGCCCTTCATAAAGCTGTACTTCTGACAAAACTGCAGAGCCTTCTCTACAAATAAACTCGTCATGACAAATTGCTTTTCATGAGGAAAATAATGAAAGAAAAAAATCAACTTTTTTATTGTTATGTTTTGTAGTTGGTAAAAAGCAGGCAAGCAGTAACTTGATCTATATGAACTTTATTATAGCAGGATGGACAAGCGTACACACAGCATTCGTCTTGTAACTGTCGGCAGAACTTCCCCTGAACTCTATGCTACACCTTTATATATAGTAGCAGTGCTCTGCTGCCACCTAGTGTTCAGTTCAGTACACAAAATGTACAATGTTCCATGTCAATTTACGCTTCATCCACTTCCCAACAAATCCCACAACTTTATAATGAGACCAAAGTAATCAAATAAACCTTGTGGTTACATAAATATACTCATTAAAATGTGGGTGTGTTATTTGTGCCTCACTAACAATATTTTTTATTTAAAAACAGCTTGGGTGCAAATTGTCTTCATTGATTAAAACGTGATTAATCAGGGTTAATGAATTACAAAGCCTTTAATTAATCAGATCAACCTTTTTTTTTACCAAGTCCCAACCCTAATTACGATACTAAAAGCCAGATTATATTTGCAAATTTTAAGATGGAATTTAATTAGCAAACTCAGACCAGATGTTTCCACACATCCAGTGTCATCGCAGGATCTCAGTGGTCCATCAGAATGAAGGTGTTAAAAACTGCTGCCAGAGTGTAAATTGCACCACACAAAAGAAATACAGCAAATATTTGCTGACACCCCCCCCCCCCCCCCCCCCCCCCCCCCCGTAAAAAATTGATCTACACTGCTTTTAACCTCCTGGGACACAAACTTGTATTGGCTTGATTTAAAAAAAAACATTTCTAGCTATTACAGATTAGTTGACTGTAATTAACAAAAACAAAGTTACAAACATTTAAATTCAATTTAAAATTAAATCAATAAAAATGCTGTCAAATATCCTAAAAAAGAAAGACAACAATTTTTTTAATTAAAGTCATATAAAGTGTTTATAAATCATAAAAAAAAGGTCAAAGTAGAAGAGAATGAAATTTTAAAGTGCAAAAAGCCAATATCCACATATGTGGAACAGGGCCTTAGGAGGTTAAATATTCATTCAGTATTATAAATTTAGATATCACAATATTTCAAAGTATCGCAATATTTCCCTATTGCTAGACCAGTCTTCATATTATCTCTGTGTGTGTGTGTGTGTGTGTGTGTGTGTGTGTGTGTGTGTGTGTGTGTGTGCGTGCGTGCATGCGTGTGTGTGTGTGCAGAAGGAGAGAATAAGTTCCCATCCTCCTCTGAAGAAGTTAAAGTCCCTGAATGATCTGGACCAAGCCCAGGATGACCAGGAAATAGCTTTTCTCAAACTTCAAGTCTTGGAGCAACAGAACATAATCGACGAACTGACGAGGGTATGTTCATTCAAGCCCTACTTTGTTGCTTTGTAACAATTTCACTTACACATTTCTACATGATAAAATGGAATAAATAACCTGCAAAAATGATGGAGGCTCACATTTTTAATTGGTTTTATTGGTAATTGACATGATTGAGTCTTCACTAATGTTGTGGTTTGTGTGGTATGTTTTCATGTGTCTTCATTTGTGTGTTTCCAGGACCGTGAAAAATTACTACGGAAGAAAAGGCATAAAAGAAGTTCAAGGCCAATAAAGGTACAAAGGATGTGTCTGTTACAGTAAAACACGCACATTAAAGGGACTTTACGGAGTTTTGAATTTTTATGCTCGTGATTGCCCCCTCAGGCCAAAAGCGTAACGGCAGCTTCAATAGTAGGCTCGTGCGCGCATGCTGTACGTGCACACTCCTTTAGGAAAATAACCACTGAGACAGTCAGCTCCATGTGTGTGTGTGGCCTGGAGGACAGAGGACAGGAGAACGCGCAGCCAAATAATTAAATAATTTGGTTCTGTACGTTTATCTTCAGCACAGCCGACAAAGGTTTAAGATGGGTCAGTCCGTCAGCTTCACAGTGCTTCCCTTCCCTTGCTTGAAAAATTGGTCCAAAATGAAAGTTGAACCCACATCTTTTTTATCTGTGAATTCAATGCCGTTCGACCAGTCTCAAATAAAAATTTGGGCATCTTACTGTAAAAAAATACACCATTAATGTAAAAAATAAACACTAAATAAATTTGGTTCACATCTAGATTCGACCCGGATCTCCCACATGGAAGTCCCTCATCTTACTATAGTGAGCTAAAGCAGCCCATAACATCATCTGTATCTGTAGCTTTTATATCCTTGATGACAGCTGAAACAACGTTCAAAGAACGGTTCGGAGCGAAAATGGCTATTTTGTTGCTAATTTGCAGGAAATATCTAGAAAAAAGTAGCTAAGGGTCCTCAGAAATGTAGCTAGGTTCATCACTAGGCGTTAGGAACAGCGACAAAGTCGCTGAGTTGGCACTACCTCACTCTCTGCTGCTAAAGCTACTGATAGCAAATGCTACGGGCTATGCCTGAGCGTGAACGCGCATGAAGCAGCCTGCTCGACCCGAGCAGCTCTCTTTTTTTCTGTGATTTTACAGAAAACAGGCAATCACAGTAAAAATGCCAGGGCTCATTCTACAGGACCAGGGCATTGCAGGAGAATGTATGAAGAAGAAATTTATTATTTCTATACATGTTTTGGCTGTCAAACTTCCATAATGCCCCTTTAATAAATAACATTGACCAATGATGTCTAAAATAGCATGTGCTGCTACTCAAAAGCAGCAGTGGCACTATGGAGAGTACAACATGACAAAGATTGTAGTCAGGTTTCCACTAAAGGAGTTCCAAGAAATTTCTGGGAGGGGAAGCTGACGGGGAATATTATATGGCTCGGTCCTCTCAGCCGTTGTGTTGGCTCTTTCAGAACTTTTCTAACCCATGTTGCAAGCTGTGAATGATGTCACTGATCAGCATTAAAACACATCCACAGACATTAATAACATTAAAGTTTTATTCTGTCAAAGTACGCCATAATTTGATCTACTCAGGGGACAACAAGAGTGGCTGTGTGATGAAATAAGCCGCGTTCATTGGCCAGAAGATATGTTTTTTTTTAACACAAAGTGCCGTGAATTACAGCGTTGTGGGGAGATCTTTTATTTTAAAGCAGCTTATTGTCTTTTCCTTTCATTCTGCTTCACCAGCAACTCTTCAAATTCTACAAATGTTGACTGTTTAGCGATGTCTGCTGATGTCATTCCCTACCGAGATACAATCAATCAGCATGAGATAAGCACCAGTCCCGCCCAACGACTCTACTGGGCCATTTCTGAGTACATACCCCAGTTTACGTACTAGGCTGGCCCTGAAATTCCCTGGAAAGTGGTCCTTTCAGGAAGACCTAGTGAAATGGAGACGCACACAGCCCTGTAATGTTTGGTATAATTACCCTGATGTTCCGATAGAAACTGACCTTTTTTTAGAGTACAAAAAAGGCATAAACAGTAGAAAATGACATTAAAATTGATCAAATCTATATTTTTACCTTGTTTTTATCAAGAGGCACGTTGTAGTAGACACCTTCTTTGGGTACGATGAAGAGTCAATGGACTCTGAGACATCCTCAGTGGCTTCATTTCGCATGGACCGAACCCCGGCCACTCCTGATGAGGACCTTGGTGAGGTAAGAGCTTCTGGGTTGGGAAACACTTCACCAACTTGTTTTAGCTCATTATCGTCTACCATAACAATAAACTCTTATCAGCTCACCAACCTTACCGGAAGCCTAGCCTTTGACTTCCTGTTTGTGTTTATAAAACAAGGGTCTTGCCAATGAGGAATCGGAGTTACGTTTCCGTCAGCTGACCCGGGAGTATCAGGCGCTGCAGCGAGCCTACGCC